AGAAAGAGAGAGAGAGAGAGAGAGAGAGAGTGAGAGAGTGTTAAGCTAATTAAAATAGCGGACGTTAAAACAGCTGATACATTGGAGCTCATCGCTTCGACCATTCCCCTTCCATACCTCTCTCTGTTCTCTCTGTCTCTTTCTCTATCTGTCTCTCCTCTCTGTGCGTGTTGTGGGTTCAAACCCTCTTTGAGATGGGTAACACAAATGAAGGAAGATAAATTGTTCAGTGTGGACAGCGCCATTGAAAGGTCCTACTTCTTTTCTTTTCCTCTGTTGCTTTTGCTTCTGCCTATGCGTCTTGTGTGTGTGTGTGTGTGTGTGTGTGTTATATATAATATCGTCATTGACTGTGCTGTAATAGTTCATGTATAGAGTGTATATATGTGTTAACGGTAAACTAAAGCGCGTTGTAATAGTTGTATGCATCCTCATGAGGAGAACGTACTAAAGACGAAGGTGTTGTACTGCGCCCCGAGCTGTATAGTACGAGAGTGGGCGCAAAAGAAATTATCAGCATTATTACTTTAAAAGGGAAGCACATCGACTCGTTGATGGCTATTAACATTTAGTGTAGGAAGAAGGATAAATAGATCCATAAAAACAACAGAGGAGAAAAAAAAGGAAGTAGGATTTATCAGTGGTGCCCTACCTCAAAGAGAAAACATAATTTTCTTTCCCTGGTAGCGCTTAAACCTTGGCTGTTTAGATCGAAGAGAGCCCGGGTTTAAACCCTTGTCTCGGCCAATGTAGGTACTGCCTTCTAAGAAGTAACATCCATTTGCCAGAAACTGATTCAAGGAGTCAAAAAGTTTGCAGAGCCTGCTCCAGAGAATTATATAACAACATCGAAACATTGAGCGATAGCGATAACCAAACGTGTGTATGCACACATCCTTTTAGCAGCTTTTGGAGGGGTGTTTTATTTGTTTGTGATTATTTATTTTTGGGGGGGGGGGGGTTAAGTTAAAAAATAACAATATTCTACTGGCTGGTATTCCGGAACTCACGCTACACTTCAAGCATTGCTTTGACAACCTGGAATTTCCTTTTTAAGACAGTGCTGTTATTTAAATTTATAGATGCTGCTTGCCATTTAATGCCCTCGTCCGATGTCGTATACGACTTAGCCAGGCAGATAGAGAGTCACAACTTCTCATAAGCTCACATTCTTTTACATAACAATTAAAAATCGTTCAGTAGGGGATTGCAACCAGGTCGTTAGCGCAGCAGTCCAGAGAAACGCAAACCGACATACACTGTCTGAACTGCCTCAAATACAATGTCTGAACTACCTCATAAGGAGATCATTAACGGGGTTTGACTCGAGAATTGAATTTCCGTTTGAGTAAAAAGAAGCACATCGACACAATTGCGGCCCGTATTTGCTGGTAAAAAGCAAGACAGACATAAATACAACAGACGGCAAATAAAAAAAATAGGACATATGAGTAGCCCTCTCCTTGGTGGCCCTCTAACCACCTGCGTGCTCAAGGTGGACGCTTCAAAAGCGAAAGCCGCGGTCCTGGAAGGACATAAGAGTTTAATATTAACTATAACCTCTAAACCTGTTGACTGGCCAGCTGACTCGGCGGGGGCGTGAAATCATCATTACAATGCTTAAGTAAAGGTTTTACGGCCCTTGCAACAGAATTAGGTAATTATATAACCGCCAAAGATTAAACACGAGATAAGAGAGTATCAAACACAAGAAAGGGAGGAGGAGAGATAAGGATGATAAAAGTTAAAAAGGAAAGAAGGAGCAAACTACACTAAAGCACCCGCCAACCACCCACAACTAAGACAAAAGCAAGACTGACTTCTTGCATGATGCAAGCCGAAAAAAAGGCTGATTTCTTACTATTGAGACAAAAAAAGACGGAATTTTTAAAACTATGACAAAAGCACGACTGATTTCTTAAAACTAAGACGATAGCAAGACTGGGCAAGACTGGTTTCTCTTGGGAGTCTATGGTATTGCGGTACGAGGCTTCATCGTCGCACGCATGAGACCCAAGTTTGATTCCCGCTTTCTGCTGGGCCGTTGTATCCTTTTCAGTCCGGGTTGGCCCTGACAGAGGCGGAAGCTTACCACCTACCTAAATGATCTAAATTGTGCCGACCGGACGGGGAAGGGGAGGAGGGGGGGGGGTTGTAAAAACATATAGGGGCCTACATTTAAAAAAAAGATCGATCTCTTACTCTTACCATTCAGTTTCAGGCGACTTCAGGAACAAACACAGGGCTGACCACAAGACGGCGGAGTTAACATCCAACAAGAAGAAGAACGGGGGGAGAGAGAACAAGACAAACGTTCCCCGGACACACCACACCGCGGCTCTCTTCACAACAACATGGCACTCACACAGGCACAGGAGACTCTGACCAATGGCGTCATTCCTACAACTACAACAAGCCCCACTGTCACTGTCGGCACTAAACACGCGCGAACAGACACCACGGCGCAACAACGCTTCCCTCGCCCTCACGTGTAGGGGATGATTATTTTATTTAATATCGACGCTTTTCGACAACAGCTGAGACATAAGGTGATTTTCTTTTTCTTTCTTTTTTCTACGTCTCGTACGCAAACTACAAACCGTTTTCAGACCGTATGTGTATGTCACGGGCAAACAGTGCCACACAATAAAATTTAGACGACAAGGTAAGCTCCTTTACTCATGTGACAACTGACTACAGTAAGGGAAATCCACAGGATAATACTTCTACTATTATAAAAACATACACTGCAATAGTATTTCTTCGATGTCTATTTTGATGATCCTCCAGCAGCAGTAAAATACATATTATACAATAAATTTATTATAGTCTATGCCAGTGGTCGCTCAAAATAAATGATAATATCCCTGGTGGTGATCCATGAGAGATTTCGTCTCCTATCTGAGCCCTGAGCCGCGTGGAAGGAAAGTGGAGAGACATGACGCCGTGACGCCTCACTAGCATCGCCAGGAGCGGCCACGCAGACACGCGCGCGTGGGAATCTCTCCCTCTCAGAGAGAGAGAGAGAGAGAGAGAGAGAGAGAGAAAGAGAGAGAGAGAGAGGGGGGAGAGAGGGGGGGGA